GGGGGGGGGGGGGGGGGGGGTGGGTGGGGAGGTGTGGGGTGGGGGTGGGGGGGTGGGGGGGGGGAGGGGGAGGGGGTGGGTGGGGGGAGTGTTTGTTGATTGGCTGTTGTGTTTGTTGTGGGGCATGTGGGGGGTTTGTTATTGTGTTGTGGAATGGGTTTGTGTTATTTTTTATTTGTTTTTACGTGTTTTTTTGTTGTTTTTATTTTTTTGTTATTTTTTTATTATTTTTTTTTATTTCGATTTTATGTGGGATTTTTTTTTATGTTTTTTATTTTTTTTTTTTTAAATTAAATTTTTTTTTTTTAATTTTAATTTTTTTTTAATTTTAAATATAATTTTTTTTTAATTTTTTTTTTATTTTATTTTTTTCATTTTTTAATTAATTTTTTTTTTTTTAATATTTTTTATTTAATTTTTTAATATATTTTTGTTTTTTTTTTTAATTATTTATTTTTTTTTATAAATTTATTAATTTTTATTTTAAAATTTTTTTATAAACATTTTTTTTTTTTATTTTTTTTTTTTTAAATTTATTTTTTTTATTATTTTATTTTCTTTTATTTTAATTTTTTTATTTGTTTTTATTTTTAATTTTTTTTATTTTATTTTTTTATTTATTTTTATTTATATTTTATTTTTTTTTAATATTTATTTATTTTTATAATTTATTTTTTATTTGCCATTTATTGTGTAATAATTCCTTCTCTTGTTCATGTCGAGCAAGATACATCGGAAGAACTACTAGGAGGCTGTCTGAGCGAATACGCGAGTATTTCCAGCTAACCTACGCAATGGTGGGAGAAAAACTGTGATGAGCGCCGTGTTGGCACATTTGGTTGATTCTAATCACCAAATCGACACCCGCCAATCTTTCCAACCCATTTACCGTGTACCTGGACGTCTTTCCCGTGCGGTAAAATGTCGGTTACTAGCAGCAGCTGAGGCGATTGCTATCTGCCACCAGAACCCAGAATTATGTGCTCAAAAGCGATTCGTTCTTCACCTTTGTTTCGAATGTGTGTAAATCACCTTTCTAACTAACAGGCTCGTTTCACATGGTGTCATTCCGCGCCACACTTAACATCGGATCGATCAGTGTACGGCTTTCCCCATCTCTCACTGCATTATACTGTGCGTTCAACACTCCCGGAACACGCGCGCAAGCTGATGGTATCCTTAATACTTCTGGATTTCCGATTCGGAATCTATTAACAGTGGCTGTACTTTTGGTATACCTTGCAACTGTGTCGTTTGCTAGATCTACATGCAATATCAGGAAAGCTAACGGTAACCTGCTCAAATAATTCCAATTGAAGGGCTGCATGTGCATGGCTCGACTCCAGATTTCTAGCATTTGTTGTCATCGTCTGAACCTACGGTGGCTTCTTCCGTGTTTGTTCACAACGATCACAGTTTGAAGATTGCCACATACGTTTTGTCGACATCTTGTCTCGTAACCTTGTGGCGCAGGTTCGAGCGTGCTTAGGGGCAGGGCGACCCTCACAGTATCCTTAGCCTAAATGCGACTGGTGGTGGTTGCGCAGTAGCGACGCGTGGGTACTGCGTACCGGCGTACTGCTGACGCCTTCAACCCTAATCCATGTAAGCCCACAATCAGCATCAATATCTAAGTTGGACGCCTGTTAAACGTCGAACAGTTGTTTAGGAGTCGTCTTGTATTCGAGACTCATGGTGTTGACACTAGTGAGCGGCTTACTTAGTTCTATTCTTGCCACGATTCTTAATCCATAACTGACACTTTATTAGTACAAGCGATTGCAAAGTCCTACCTGACACCTACTGAACAAATCGATGTCCTGGACAGCTTTGCCACGCTGTCATTCGCTATACTTTACGGATGCCAGTACATGTTTGTGGGTTGAGTTAGAGAACCCACCTAGATTGCACTCCCAATTGTCGTTCAACCAATAGTCTCCAGCAAAGCTGCGTCGCCTTTAGGCTACTTACGAACGATTGGGTGAAGTTGCGCGGTCAACTAATGCGATGTTGACAATGATTGAACATTGTGTCTGAGTGAATTACTTGGGCCTTCATATACTTTCTGTGACCTTGAGATCGGACATACCAGCCGTTAACGGCTCTGTCCAACCTGACGTAATCGCGGAATCATCAGCGCCTTTGGAAAACGTCTCTAGTTTATCATTAATCATTCACCCGACGACTATTAGTCCCTTTTTGTCTCATCTTTTTCTAGTGTTTGCGTGTGTACCATTTTACTCCTAGTTGCTATTTTTCGTTTTTAAACCCTGGTTTTAAGGGTGATGCCACTGGATTTGCTTCACTACTCTAGCAGCACCGTAATTAGATAGCTGAACTCAACGAACATCCAATACACTGTGTTCTCGCAAGTCTGCCATCTCGATGATCCTACGAATTTGGCTATGCAGCATGTTTTGTCGTAGCCTTTCCGGACTGCTCTGTATATGTTGCAGATTGAATTGCCTTTGCTATGAAGGATACCTCGTGACATCCAAGTCATTAGTGGTGTTCAGCAGGCAAAACTGCTACGAACTGTTCAAACCTTATTTACTTCCTTCAACTGATCGGCTACGTACGTCCTTGTCAAGGTGTGGCTGCGCTTGCTGTGAATGTTGACAAGGTGTCTACTTGTCTATTGTCCACCACCTCGTCCAGGAGACAGCTGGTCGTTGCTAGTGGGGACGGGGTGCACCGTCCTCGTGACGGTGCTAGGTTCAAAAAGTGATTCCATCCTGTGTGGAACGGGCTACGGCCCAGCCACTGCCTTGTGTACGTCTGGTGCGCATGATTTCCCAATTAGGTCGGAATGCTTCTGTTCTGCTTGTTAAAGGAGTGTGGGCCGGCACCGTTGATGAAACGTAGCTCCCATCCACATGCCTCCTAGTCTTATTCCTTCAGTTTACATCGGATGAGGTGTGTAAGTGGTGCAGTGCAAGCCACCCATGGTGCCTCTGTAGGCGCAGGCATTCTGTGGAGGCCACAGTGACAGGCAATTCCGGGCACGCATACCGCCAATCCATATCACTGGCACAACTTGCCCATATTTGCGCTTATCCGTAAGTTGGCAAGTTGTCCTACTTATCGTTACCACCGCGTTACATGGTGTGTCCTTGCTTTACCTGATGTAAATATTGAACTCACGTTTTTTCATTTTGATATTGCACTAGAGGGTCTATTGAGTTGGAATCACCTGCATCGCATATCTTCAAAGCGGCTCCCTTAGTGTATGTTGTTTACCAATACTGCCTAGTTGAGTGCACCCCCGAGATAGCTATTGTTAAGAACACGTATGTTTCGGGATGTGGATGCGGTTTGTAACGATGATACGAAACCTAGACTAAGTATGTCATACGCAACGCAAACTGAAGTGTAAAAGCCGTAAACTTGTATGCCCATACTTTACGCGCTTTATGTGAAGAAAAAATAACACGCAAATTCCTATAACCGCGGTTCTATACTTCAAAGTAAAGACAGTATACAACTTATGGATAGGTTTGCAACCGTACTGAAAGGGAGCAGACAGAATATGAAGTGCCGAGACATTATAACGTATTAGTTCACTGATCGTGAGTCTATCCAATGTGAAATACTGTGACCTTGAGGGATCCGGAATTTGCTAATGGTGCGAAGTAAAAACGTTGAATGTCTGGTAATGCTTATGTTTAAAGCGCATGTGTGTACATTACTGTATGGAATATTGGAAGAGTTTGGGAAATAGGATACCATGTCACTAAATAGACAGTTTTTTTTGGAGAAATCAGAGTTCTATTTGGACTTTACGCGGATGATAACTTACTCTCCAAATTGAGCGCTTTTATTCCAAACTTTCGTCATTAAGCCAGACGACATCGTCAATGCGTTGAAGTCGCGCTGAGATTATTTTCTACCGGATTTGGCGCGATCGCGGCGCCAGTAGGACGCTGATTGGTACTTTCCCCTATCTCTAATGATTTTATGTTTTGTCTCTTCCTCCTGTTGTTGTTATCACTGTTGCTATTATTTCTAGTAATATGGCTATGTGGACCAAGTCAACCGGATGCACCACGCCTCCGTGCACGGCTCGCTCTTCGTCTGCTGCATTGGAGCATGGTATTCATTTAATTTTGAGGCGTCTAACTTTCCAGTTTATCGGTTCTTCTTCACCATACGATTCGTCTCTTGTCACGGTTTATTTGTACTCGTCTATTGTCTCGTAACTCCACATCGATTTACTGAATACTGTATTATAGAGCAAGTAGAAATGAATTCTGTATAACTTTCGAAATATGGTGAAAAACGTTATAAAAGTTGCCAACCGTGAATATCGTTGTCGTTCTCATGTAACATTTAACATATCTAACTTACGATATTTCAGGATTCACAAATGTGATATGTTATCGTAAGTGTGCAGTCGTTCTCTGAATCGAATATTGGCAAAATACAAATCTAACAACGTTTTGAACTGTTGCACAGATGTTGCCTCAATCACATGTTCGGGCAAACTGTTCCAAATGTTTACCACTCTCCTTTCGAAGCACAGTGGGTGGGGAACACATTTCATATCCGGCACGACAAGTTTGTATCTGTGTCTGCGTGTGCTTCATGGCCCTCGTAAGTACAGCATTGGCCTTAGCATTGGGAAGTCACCGAGATGTAGAATACGGTAGGTCCTAATAAGGTCGACTCGCATCCGACGGTTGGACAAGGTGTAGAGTCTTAGTTTCTCGTACCGGTCTTCATACCCCAAGCCATGTAAACTCGGGATGAACCTGGTAGCAACGTGCTGGACCCGTTCGATCTTTTGTGCCTCGCCTCGGGTAATCGGAAAGTAGGCGGGCGGACCGTTCTCTAGCATTGGTCTAATGATGGAAGAGAAGAGGCGAGTGGCAACCTCTTCAGACCATGTGCCGAAGCTGAGTTTGAGTGCCCAAAGCATGCGCAGTCCGTTTTGCCATGGATGTAAGCTTTTCGTCTATTCCATTCATATTCCCTTATCTTGTCGCATCCTTTTTTTCCAGTGTGCGGTACTTTTCGGGATATTTCTGCGTTGTCCTTTCTGGAGGTTCAGTTAAACCTTGCCTATCGGCGCCATTGGGACAGCCGTGTCGTTACACTGGAGTATGTCCATCCAAACAATGAAAACCATACATCCGGATCTGGCGATTGCGACAATATTCGTTGGGTCACCAAATTTCCTTTCCCGTTTGCACACAGGGAATACATATACCTGCGTCGTTGGTGGCTTGAGCCGGGCGATATTCATATCCAAGTTAAACGCAACCAATGTTCAGATATCCAGAGCACATCTGCCGATTGTGAATTGACATCTTACGGACGTTATGCTATTGTTTTCTCACGCTCATCCTTGTCTGCTACCGAAGACCTCATCAAAAAGCGCAGCTTCAGTGAATGGACCAAAAAGCTCAAGCGGCAGGCCCCTATTTTGGTAACCGCATATCGATCAGCGCTTCTTATTGAGGCTCATACGCAATTTGATGAGGTATGCCCAGCTGACAACGCTTTTTGTCCTTGTAAGTATTTTGGATGCAACTCATGTTTTCACATTTGATTTGTGATTTGTGTTGTCTCTACTGCTCCCAATTTACACTCACATATAGTAGCAATTTGGAAAGTGGGAACCATCTCGTATTCACGTAACAAGTGCCATCGACAGCTACCGCATTCTCATTTTCATTAAAATTCTCTCCTCAACTATGTAACTCTACTATGGCGTCCTATTTTCCAAAAATGCCGTGGCTTAGTTTCTTTCATCAATGACTCTTCGCGTTTTTCTTGTGTAATGATGATTCTCCTTAACATTCCTCGTTCTCATGAGCATAAACGTTAACTTATGGTAGCAGAAGGCGCACACACCATACATGGTTGTCGAATGAGGCGGTATACTGACTTCGATGAACTAGTAATTTTTCCCCATCAAAGTGCGCTCCTGGGCACTACCACGGTTCCCCATGTAACCTGGGCTGACGTCGCATACACAACGGCACCCCAGTTTACCAGTTAATCCATCTATTCCGCCGAAGGAAGTCAGTTTACAACAATAACAACAACAGCGGTACATCAGCCATTTGAACTGATGCTTCGCTGTCGTCCAACCACAATGACCAAAGGAAGGAAGAAGCATCAGAGGAGAAGAATGGGAGTCTCATGTGAATAAGTTGCTTTGGCTTGGGCATGAGCTGTGTATGTCCCGTCACCACTTACTGAGGAGGGCCTTGTTTTGTTTGCGAAATGTAGGGTGACGCAAGGCTCGAGGTGGGCAAAAATTAACTTGGCAGCGGGAAATGAAGTCACTTATGACCAAACAGTGTGCCGTCGGTCCGCCTTGCCTTCCAGGCTGGATTCCACATGACACGCCTTGTGCCTGGCTCGATACGTTCATCATCAACAGCATTACATCAGCCATTTGAACTCATACATCGCTGCCAACAACCATGAGGAACTATGAAATAAAGAATAAAAAGAGGGAGAGAAGGGGGACTTACCTGAAAACCTTAATGCCCTAAGCAAACATTTAGGGTCAAGGTGCCTACACCTTGTGTAGACAACATACTGTCACAAACAGCCGGCTATCGTGCGAAGATAATACGGCATCGGCGAGACAGCTTCCTTGCGGCTTTCACTGCCACGCGTCATAATCAGCCATTACCCCGAAGATAACTCAGCACCAAACACACTAAACAGGCAATCCGATTAGGAGACGGCAGCAGACGCGCCACTGGTGTCTACTGCGAGCCACGTCCTGTAAACTTTCGAGCCAAGCATAAGGCGGATGGCGTGGACTCCAGCTCGGAAGGTCGAGAGGAACCAACGGCACCCAGTTTGGTCGTCAGTGTCTTCATTTCCCGTTGCCAAGTCAACTTCTGTCCACCTCGAGCCTTACGCCACCCTACACCTGGCAGACTAAACAAGGCCCACCTAGGTAAGCGGTGACCAGGTATGCGTAGCACGTGCCCGAGCCAACGCAACTTATTCATTGCTATCTGTTGTTCTAGGGAGCTAGCATGATTATCTTTACCTAGTACTCGCCTACGCACATCATCGTTGCGGACACGCTGGTGCCATCCTAAACCATCAATGCTTCGCAGACAACGATGATCAAAGACTTGAAGGCGCCTCAGATCTTCAGACCGAAGGGGTCAAGTTTCACTACCATAGAGCAGAACGGCCCTCACTGTCGCCTTGTATACCCGGCCTTTCAGACGAAGGGAAACTCCCTTCTGTCGCCAAAGATGCCGCAGGTTCAAGAAGGTAGCTCTGGCTTTTGCAATGCGTGAAATGACGTCAGTTTCTATGCGCCCATCATTGCTGATGCAGCTGCCAAGATAAGTGAATTGATCAACCACTTCGAGTTCCTCGTTAGCAAGCCTTAGGGGGTCATAAAGTGGCTGATGGTCCTGCAGCAACACTTTGCACTTTGAAGGTGCGAAGTGCATTCCAAATAATGGGACCACTCAGGACAGGCTATTCAGGGTTGATTGGGCCACCCCAACATCGTCGAAAAGCAAGACGATTTCGTCCGCATAATCTTGATCAACTAACCTTTCACCAGGAAGCACTTCAACGCCTACATCGTGAGATTCCGCAAGGGAACACTCCATGATAGAATCCACGACGAAATTGAACAAAAACGGGGAAATCGGACAACCCTGACGAACGCCACTTGTGGTCGGAAAGCTATCCGATAAGACACCGTAAACCCTGATGCGGCCTGTAGTGTTCGAGTATAGAGCACGAAGGATGGTCACATATTTCGCGGGAACACCTTTTCGCGCAAGTATTTCAAACAGAATCGATGGATCGACTGAATCGAACGCACTCTTGAAATCGAGGAACACAGCTATTGTCGGTCTGCGGTATGCGTGACGCTGCTCTAGCACCTGTCGCAAAGTGAATATATGGTCTATACAGCCACGACCTGGGCGGAAACCAGTCTGCTCTTCCCTAATCCGAGCTTCCCGTTCCCCAGTGAGGCGATGAACTATAATCGAGTCCAATAATTTTGTCACAATTGGTGTTAGGCTGATAGCCCTGTGGTTAGAACAGTCTGTGCGACTGACCTTCTTGTATATTGCCACTATAATCGATTCTCTCCAATAGGCCGGGACGCTCTTCCTTCCAGATACATCCGAATAGGGAGGTCAGTGCTTTGCAGAGAACCTCGCCTCCATCCTTATATAGTGCAGGTAGGAGGGAATCCGGGCCAGCGGCACGAAAATGATTGAGGGCTGTGATCGCGTTTCTGATTTCGGCCTCCGACGGAGGCTCGTCCTGCATTACCTGAGTAGGAAGAGGTTCGCGAGCAGGGGGCCAGCTGTACTGATCTTGAAAGTGTTCCGCCAAACGAGCCATGCGGCGCTCCTTATTGTGTATCAGCGCACCCGCGCTGTCTCCGATTGTCTCACTGACGCCTGGTTTTCTGGGACCAATGGAGCGGATTAGCTGGAAGAGCTTGCGGTAATTGCCTACTGCTCCTGCCTCCTCCATTACGGAACATGGCTCGCGGTTGACACCAGGCGCGTCTGCTGCCGTCTCCTAGTCGGGCTGCTTGTCTAAATGGTGCTTAGTTGTGTGCGGGGTAATGGCTGATTACGACACGGGGCAGTGAAAGCCTCAAGAAAGTTGTCTGGCCGATGCCACCTTACGTTTGCACGATAGCCAGCTGTTTGTGGCGGTATGCTGTTGACTAGGTGTAGGGGCCTTGACCCTGAATGTTTACTTAGGGTACTAAGGTTTTAAGCTAGGTCCCTCTTTTCTCCCTGTTATTATTCTTCATTCCTTAGATCACTATAGTTGTGCAATAGCGAAGCATCAGTTTAACTATCCGGTGTAATATTGTTACTTGTTATTATTATTACTGTTATCTTTATGAAATGCCTCAAGCAAACAGCATGACCAACAGTACCACCATAAACAGCTAGTTATCGTACAGCGATGAGGTGAAATCGGCGGTACAGCCTCCTTGCAGTTTTCACTACCGCGCATGATTAGCAACCATTGCGTCCCAGATTACTCAACATCACACACCGTCCAAACGGGTAATCTGACTATGAGAGGACAGCGAGCGCGCCACTGCTACTGCTTGCTTGCCTCTCTCATCCTTCACAGACTGACTGGCACTCGTGAAAACCAGATTCGCGAAGAGCAAGCTGGATTTCGTCGAGGTCGTGGCTGCATTGACCACATCTTCACCTTGCGTCAGTTGTTGGAGCACTGTCACATATTGGCGGCCCACCGTTGTCGTGTTCCTCGATATCAAAAGTGCATTCGATTCCGTGGATAGACATGCACTTTGGGACTGTCTACTCAGGAAAGGTGTACCTGAGAAGTATCTGAATATTATCCGAGCATTATATGCTCGTAGCTCTGGCAGAGTGAGGCAAGTTGTCGTCGCCCTTTAATATCTCCAGCGGCGTGATACAAGGATGCCCGCTGTCACCTTTCCTCTTCAACTTTGCTGTTGACGAAGTCATGGAAATCGCGTTTACAGGACACGAGTTAGAAGGTGTGGATCTGCTCCCAGGAGAACGACTTCTTGACTTAGAGTGTGCTGATAATATTGCCCTGATCTGTGACAGCTTACAAACGTGCCAAGCGGCACTGGATAGATTGGCACTAGCTGTCCGTCACTTCGGACTTTGCTTCGCACCCTCGAAGTGCAAAGCGTTCCTCCAAGATTGGTCTGGACCGCCTCCTACGCTGACCCTTGGTGGGGATCAGCCAGAAGTCATACAAAAATTCAACTACCTGGGAAGTTGTATCAGCGCCCGTGGGATTGAAGATGAAATCACGAATCGTATAGCAAAAGCTCGGGGCGCTTTTGCTAACCTTCGCCACTTATGGCGCCGGCGCGACATCACTCTCGCCGTGAAGGGTAGAGTGTACAATGCAGCAGTACGTTCGACCCTATTGTACGGTTGTGAAACCTGGCCGCTTAAAACAGCGGACCTGAAGAGGCTAGTTACGTTCGACCACCGGTGCCTTCGCAATTTGGCTCACATCTGTTGGGAACACCGCGTGAGCAACGAGCGTGTTCGACGCCTTGTTTATGGCACAGGAAGAGGAACTGAACCGCTCAGCACCGTTATTTCACGCATCAGGCTCCGATGGCTCGGCCACGTGTTACGCATGCCAGCTCACCGACTTCCGCGACGTGTGTTGTTTGGGCGCCGGGGGTGTGGATGGAAGAAGAGGAGGGGTGGCCAAGCGATGACTTGGTCCAGGGGAATGAAGGCCCTCACTTCTGAGTTGGCCTCGGTTGGAGCGTCTCGGCTCCCTGGATGGGGTCCGAAAGACGATGAACACGTTTGGTTGGACACACTTGCTGATATGGCAAGGAGCCGACCTCAGTGGTGTTCGGGCTGTGAGTTTCTTTGTCCCACGCCATCCCTCTTAGCTTCCCCCTCCAACCACGATCTCATTATTTAGCCTTATATAACTTTGCATAGCAATTTTTTTTCGGGTGCACAGCAGCCGGCTGGTAGCTTACCGGAACGATGCCCATCCGTTACCG